GAACTGATTGAAAGACAGCTAACAGATGTTCTCAGAAGAATGAAGAACGACCGTCTGATACCTGAGGACCTGTTCGATCGCCTCAAACCGACAGGATCAACCATTCCCCGACTCTACGGCTTACCGAAGGTGCACAAACCTGGCTTGCCGCTTCGACCGATTCTAGACATGTCAGGGTCACCATACCATCCAATCGCCAAATGGTTGTCCGAAATGTTGGAGCCGGTAAGACAACACCTGTGCAAATACTTTTGAGTTCATTGAATGCATAAAAGATTTGAATGTAAATGGTAAACGAATGTTATCACTAGATGTCGAATCTCTTTTTACCAACGTGCCACTACCAGAAACAATTTCCTTTCCGTGCAATTAGATAGAGAAATCTAATATAAGCATTGGAGTACCAATATCATATCTGGAGGAGTTGTTGCTGAGATGCACGCTGAATGTACAATTCACCTTCAACGGCGACATCTACAGACAGAAAGATGGAATTGCAATGGGATCTCCTCTCGGCCCGCTCTTAGCAGACTGCTTTATGGTCAGTTTGGAGAGTGGAGTTTTAAAATCAACAATAAACAAATTACTACTATACAAAAGGTACGTTGACGATACCTTTATAGTCTGCTACGATAACTCGGACTTCAACTGCATCTTACAAGAATTTAATAATTCCCATCCTTCGATTAAATTCACAATGGAATTAGAAAACGATTCAAAGATTCCATTTCTGGACGTGGAATTGACAAGAAGAGATGATGGAACCCTGAAGAGGTTCATCCACAGAAAACCGACATGGAATGGTTAACTAACGCATTTCTACAGTTGGATACGTTTGAGCCGAAAACGAGCTCTGATCAGCACACTAACTCATCGCATTAGAAAAATCTGCAACAGCGATTGTATGGAAGAGGAGCTCCTATTCCTCAAAAATATCCTGGCTCAAAATGGCTACCCAACACGTTTTGTCGAAAAGAACATGAAACTTAAACCTAAAAGTGAAGAATACGATTCAGTGTCAAGGAAAACGCTGTATCTAAATCTGAATTTCAAGGGAGGTTTGGCAGCTGATATCCTGAAGAGGAGAATATCCAGCTCTTTAAAGAAGACCTTCCCTGCAGCAACACTAAGAGTGACATTCTCTAGCCATCCAATACTTCGAAACAACACGAAGGACAAACTCTCACATATTATTATTGTTCCCTTGGGTTCCTAGTGGAACATAGGGCTTCAACTGCACGTCTCCACTTGCTTCTGTATTTTGCTGTATTTTTCACCTGTATCCATGTTAGTCCATACTGTTTCAACTCCTCTTCACACGATCTTCTCCATGTCACCCTTGGACGTCCCACTCGCCTCTTCCCTTTCGGGTTCCACTCGAGGGCCTGACGCGCGATGTCACCAACCGGCCTCCTCAACGAGTGTCCAATCCATCTCCACTTTCTCCTGCATATTTGTTGGGCGATTGGTTCTTGTTTTGTTTCTTCCCATAGTTCCTTGTTGGTGATTCTTTCCGGCCCGGCCATCTGATCTTCATTATAGACCCAGCGAAGACAGTTGTTGATGAAGGTCTATTCTGCAACTGGCTGTTGGAAATATTCTTTGTGACCCACCCGTCAAGTTTCTGATCCGTATAGAAGAACTGACTGACTTGACGTTTGTATTGAAAATCCGACCGAATTTTGTTGTTGATGCTGAGTGACGAAGACTTTCAGATTGGTTTCAGGTTGATGAATGTGTTTTTTCGCCTTCCCGATTCTCGCTCGATTTGACATCCTCATCCGTTCCCCCTGTAGTTGAGACAATGCTCCTTAGATAAGTGAATGAAGTAACCTCTTTCAAATCCGTCCCGTTGATGGTGATTGACGTTGGATGTTGTTGTCGTTGACTGGTTATTTTCATCACCTCTGTCTTGTCTATGTTCATATGGAGTCCTGTCTTTGCTGCTTCTTCGGCCAGTTTGTCGGTTTTCGCTTGTAAGTCTTCAATTTTGTGTGACATCAAGCATAAATCATCCACGCGCGAGATCCACGTCTTCTAGGTTCTTCACGTCGGTTCAGGATATCCCTGTCTGCTCGTTTCCCACTGTCTGACGCATAATCCAGTCCACCACAGTTAGGAATATCATTGGTCATAATAAGCACCCTTGGCTGACTCCTGTGTTTACTCCAAACGCCTCTCTGAGTTTTCCGTTGTGGATCACTTGACATGTGACATTGTCGTACAGCTGTTGAATAAGGTTGATGAATATTTGGGGTACGCCGTAGTACTCGAGTAGTTTCCAAATCACTTACCTTTTGCAATAATGGAGTTAGCATATTTTCCGTCGTCTCTGGGTTCGCTTTCAGTGCTTCAAGGGGTATTCCATCTGGTCCAGCTGCTTTTCCAGATTTCAGAAGCTTGATTGCATTCAAGACTTCAGCTTTCGTTGGAGGACTGGTGTCAACTTGCAGTTATATACGTGCTGTTGTTGATATTTCTGGACGGGTTGCTGGTGATGGTCGGTTCAAGAGTCCTTTGAAGTGATCCGCCCATTGTTTAATCTGTCTTTCTTTCACATATGACCAATTCAGTGTGCATATACCAGTTCACTTGCTCGTGTGGAGGTAGGTACATAGGTCGTTGTATTCGTGTCCTTTCAAAACGTGTTAGAGAACACTACCCAGCGTGACTCCAAAGAGGAGGCACCGGTTCAATGAGAAGTGCCATTATTGAACATCTGATCAACACCTCCCACAACATCTCAACTGATTCTTTCAAAGTGATTTACAAAGTCAACAGAAACCTACCAAGAGCAGTATGTTTCCGACTTCTTTGTACTGCAGAAGCCCTCGCAATGTTCATCGAGAAGCCGGAGCTGTGTGTTCAAAAGAAATTAGTCCAACCTCTACAACTACCATGGACCTAGTTTCGTATGTTCCCTTTGCTTCTGTTTCTTTCTCTTCTTCGTCTTTTTTCGTTCTCGCTTTTCCTTTTGGGCATTTTTTCGTTAGCTGTGTGTCTGATCCTTATTCCCTCAGTCTTCATTAAATTCACCTAATTTTTCTTCAGTTATAAAAAACAGTTAAGTTTGTTTGCATGCTTTTCCTGTTCACATTTATAATTCGTTTGAAATAACCATTTTACAATTATATTCTAATTGATATATATCCATATAATATGTGTGTTTGTTTGACGGTCTGTATATTTGCTAGGTATATATGGATCGATATTCCATTGTAATTAGCCAATCATGTTAAGACTGTCTATTGATTTGTTCATTTTGAATATTCGCTCACACACTTGTTCGGACATTCTTATATTTTTGCTCTCACACACTTGTGTGACATTGATTCTCCTGGTGTTTTGGGAAATAGAAGTATCATCGCAAACCTAGTGGTCTTCTGATTTCCGTCTTTCTTGCGTCAGGACTATTAAATTCTCGACCAGTACATAACAATAATTTGGTGATGAGTACATAATACTAATCCTGTGCAATTTTTGTGTTTCTAAGGTTCTTGTAATCTATATTCACACCTCCTAACTAACATTTCAAGTTGAAAATTTTGATTTCAATTTGTTTCCATGCTCATTTTGTTCACACCTGTAATTCATTCTATCCCTGCGTTTCTAAGCCTCTTGTAATTCATATCAAGTTGAAAACAATTATCACCTTCTATCTGACTTAAAATTATTTCTCCAGTTATCAAATATTAATTTTTGCACACGTTGTAACTATTTTCTAATCCTATGAAATCTTGTCTCTAAGCCCCATTGTAATCTATATTCGTATCCTCAAACTTTCATAGCAAGTTGAAAATTCCATTTTAATTTGTTTATTATATATATCGCACAGTGAAACAGTACTATTTACTGGAATACGTTTCGAACAAAATGTATTGTTGATAATCTTATTAATTGTAAGTATGGAGCCTTTAAGACAAAATAATTTAGTTTATCTAATACCCCGCAATGATTGTGAGGTTTAAATACATAGGTCAAACTAGTAGAACAGGGTGAGTCAGACTAGCTGAACATAAAATTTAGATTGGTTGACCCAAATAAGATAAGAAATCTAGAGAATAGTTCGGCTATACCAGTTACACCCAACCATACAATAGGATGGGGTAGGATGACAGTTTTAAAATCGAATGTCACAGGGTATAGGGAGAGATTGATAACAGAAGCTTTGGTTATCGAATCAACTGCAAATACATGTAATAGGAATGTTTGATCACCTGTCCCTTATATCCGGAAAATTCTACTACCCCTACGACAAATAGGAGAAAAGAAAGAAAACTATAAAACTCAAGTTTCAAAGTCGTGTGATTACTATTGATATGATTATGGACAATAAATTTTGTTCGAAACGTCATCCAGTAAATAATACTGTTTCACTAATAAACAAACTAATATGGAATTACTTACTACCACAGTGCCCAAGTATTACATGTATATTAAGTTGAAAATTAGTATCAACTTCGTTACTATGTGGAATAGTTTACTAATCTTATGACATTTGACCTATCAGACTGGCATAATCACATTTTTCACTTCCGAATTTGTATAAATAATCTTCCTTTATAAAAACAAAAATTAGCCTTATCATATCTATTGAACTTTGTGTTGACCTTTCTTTGTTCATTCATTCATTCATTTATTCATATTTCTAATGAATTTGTGATTCATAATTATCTAAATTAGTAATACCCTACATCAATTTTTCCACGCACGCACACATACACACACAAAACGCAACAGAAGGCACTTGTTATTGTCTGTTTCAAGTCATAGACACACATATATTGCACAGCTATGAGAATAAAATCATAGTAAGGAGGAATTTCTCCCCTAGGATCTTTATTTTACTATGGCTACACATAAAACACCAAATAAAGTATGCTTGGGTTGATGACTAATTAAACAGGAAAACGTATTAATAGCGTTTAGGTGTTATGTTATGTGCAAATGTTAGGAATATCACTGCAAACCAAAACCTGTTAATATACAGATGCACAAACCTGTTCACGTATATTATTCTGTGAAATAGAAAGTAAGGCATCAAAATCATTTATGTGCAAGTGATATCAAAACTATGTACAGAATAATCCATGAAACAAGTTAGTGATGATAAGACAAAGTTTTATTTATCAAGCGATGGTTAACACGGATTTCATTGGCTACAGGTTTGATCACGAGCTGACATCAGTTAGAGAACTATTGAAAAATTGTGGAGAACAAGACAACTGTTTGATCCTAGCCTGAAGCTCTCCATCAGTCAGCACCCACCAGGGTTCGAACACAAAACCTCTTGATTACAAGGCGAACCTGTAGGACTAACCTAGCCACTGTGACCCAGTCCTACGACCCATGTGCACCGGTAGCACAGTGGTTAGGACTCTCGCCGACCATGCGAATGGTCCGGGGTTCGATCCCCTGTCGATGCACACCTGATATCTATGGTCAGCCTGCAAAATTTGGGCTAGCGATATCACATGCTGAAAATTCCATAGCTGAACCAAAAATACGGTGTAGGGTCAAGCTGTAATAAAAATAAAAAAAGTATTCCGATTTCTACCAATTCACAGGCAAGCCGTATGCCTTTCCAGTGGTTTGAAGTTTCAGTAGAAATGAGGATTTCAAGGCCAGCAAAGATCAGGAGAGTAAGACAGGTGTTCACTACTATGAAGTCAGTGTGGGGATCTACAACACGCTCAGAATTAGGAACAAGATCAGAATTTTCAACACAACCGTTAATTCAGTGTTTCTTTATGGCTCAGTGAATTAATATGTGCATCATCAAAAGCATTCCGAACAGGTTGCTGACTCTCTTCAAAAGTTGTCTCCACTCGTAACTGTAGATTAGATGTTCCAAAAAGATAAGCGACAAGGGGTTCTTACAGGCAGATAATTAGCCACGAACCTAATACCCAGAAAATATGAAGAAGGAAGTGGAGATGAATTGGAATTAGGCTGAGGTGACCTGCAAATGACAGTACACTCTAAGCGCAAATGGGGAGCAACAAGTCAGTGTGTCGAGTGTTATTTTGAGAAGATTATGTGAAAGTTTGTAGGTAGTCGTGTAGCCAGCTGAAAGCGACGGCAGGAAACAGGATACAATGGAGACTTGTCAACAAAGTCCTCTGTTTCACTCGAAATACATAGAATCAATAATGATAATATATTATTGAGGGATGTATAATTATAAAAGACAATGAGGTGGGTGGGGGTCTGTCTGTCAGTCGACCTATTTAGAAACACTGACTAATTGTGACTCCATAATTTTAACTTCATTTTCTCTTGTGTAATTTTTATAACTTTTTCCATTTCTTGCGTTCCGAGTGCAACATAGGGCTTCAAGTCTTTGAGTTGCAGTATAAAAGTAATAATGTAATAATAAAGCTTTACTTCAGACTATATGTGAACATATAGTAAACGAATTTTCAGCGTATTCAGTTCGAAAATATTTCCTCTTCGTACAGGGTTTAGATGCAAAGTAACGATCTGAAGTATATCATGTCACGTAGTTTTATCGCATATGAAGAAAAAACTAATTCTGCACGTTTTTTCTTCATTTCTTTCAAGAATTGAACAGCATTCTGTTGAAAGCTAATTAAATATCTGCGCAAGTTCATGTTATGATCATTTGATATAATTGCATGATTAAAACAATAAGAAATGCCCAAGAGTTTAAGCATCTCGATAAATGGGAATTCTCGTAGCCCAGTGATTTAAGCAGGTCGCCGTTACACAGCAGCGGTAGTACCATTTTTCACAATATGAGGTTAAGAAGCTCACGCACAACATTTCCTCTTCTCTACAGTCACTATCGGTTATCTAATATCCAGGTGTGTGTTGGCCGGGAGTCGAAGCGGGGCCTTTAGCGTAGCTGGTGAGCACTCTACCACCAAACCATCGATAAATTATCGGTTTTATTTAGAAAACAATAAATTAAAAACACAAAAGAAAGTACATATTTATGGGGAAAAAAATACCTACCTGATTTACTAAACTCCCAAGTAGATGTTCAGGCACATGATCACTTCGTGTTGAAAGCGACGGTACAAGTGATGGTTTTGGGGTTATGTCAGTACCTGGTGAATACGCGTAGTCACGTTTCTGACCCGTATTAAAGGAAGTGTTTGAACTTCGTCTAGAAGCGGTTATATCGTCACTATTTGAATAGAAGTGTATTGGTTGTGGCAAGTCACCGCCTCCTCCTCGACCACTAGAATTGTGAGCAGTATTTCCAGATAATTCATTTAAATAATCGTCAAATGAATTGGTAATTACAGAGGAGCTACTACGATTCAATTGGAAACCATTTACACCATCATTATTCATATCTGACTCCAAATTGGCCAAAGCCTCCAGTTCTGTAAGCAATAAAATGTTGATAAAGAGAATTTAATTAAGTGACACTAAAGTTGATATTGAAACAATGAAACGAAGTTGGATTCAAATCTTTTAAAAATTTCTAGATTATCGAAATTTAGTGCTCATTTATCCTAAAACACAACAGAGAACTACTGAAGGCCTGTTGTTTACTTCCGATGTTCATAACGCCTTTTGAGGGTGTCTTCGTTGAGCTTTATAGGTGACTGTGAATGAGTTTACCTTAGAGACTGAATAACCAGTGTTCGATATATCCTCAATTACAGCACTCCATATTGATCCATTATGGTCTCTCTGAAGCCATGAGTGACAATCTTCCTTGACTCCTTAGGATAAAACACTTATTGAATGACCTAAATATACAAAGGAGCACGTAAAATGGTAGATTAACACAGAAGTGGCAAAATGTGATTAATAATCAATTTAGAGGAAAAATAAGGAGTAAGTAATATCAGGTTTTGGTTTGCAGGAGTTTGATTCGTTACAAGTTTAATCACGAACTGCTATCAGCTATAAAACCATTAGAAAAACCAGGACATGCTGTGTTGCTGTTTCGTCCTGGTCTGGGACTCTTCAGCAGCATGCAGCACCTACAAGGCGAGCTTGCAGGACATTCCAGCCACTATGACCCGATCCAACGGCCCATAAATTCCAGTTTCTGCACAACCGCTAGGCAAATGTCATACGCGAATTACTGTTCTCTTGCCTGAGTAATTAATAAGCTGATGGTTAGAATTCCGCCTTTAGTTTTCAAAAAAATTATTCTGATGACCATCATAGCAATGCCTAGAAACAATTCTACTCGATGACATTAAGCTATTCACTAGACCACCACATTCTTAATAGGAAACTATGCCTAAGAGATGACAAATAAAAATGTATCAATTCAGTATTTGCAGAAGAGTATACAATTTGTTACCATCGTGAACTAAATGTGTATGGGAAAAACAAATACTCCTAACTACCAAAATTGATTTGCGAATTCTTTACGCCTATATTTATTCATTTACTTCAGCCTTTAAGCATGATTGACTTGTAGGCTAATAAAAATGTTTAGGTGAAGAGACTACAGATTAATAGTGATACTATTACCATTATTATTAATTGTATCGTAGTCCATAGTTTTTTGAAGAGAGTAGATGGTCTATAAAGATAAAAGTAAGTTACGTCTGAAAAATTTATTATTTTCACTATGAACAGAATAAATAAATTTCAGTAAGATATATCATCATTACTTTATTTGAACACCTTGATTGACACTGGAGTAGTCATAAGGACCAATTAAAGTTATTTATTTAATAAACGTCTTTACTGAAGCATCAGTCAACGTAAACATTTGAAGACGAGAGGGATCAGCCCAAGAAGGTAAAAAAAACATGAAGGAACAGATACAGGATGATAATGGTTCTGAGAATAATTAAACAAAGTCCAATGAAGTTTTTCAGGATGCGGAAGATGACGAGAAGTCAATACATCTATGCCATTACTAAAAGTCCTCAATCAATGATATTTAGCATACCAAAGACCACTCAACCACAGCTCAGATCAACAGTCAGTAACATTGCTGAATAATGCCATGTTTCGACATGAAAATCCATAAATCTTACACAACTTTTTCGTTCATCAGACAATATTGTTCGTAAGAGAAAGCAGTGGCTTGGTATGCGCGTAACGCATGTCTCAGCTATCCCAATCCATGAAGCTTTTTAGGATCGAATTACCCTGCTTATCTAAAACTATGTCCAATTGCATTATTACTTACCGTAGGTTTTCACTTAACACAATCAAATGATTAAAAAATTGCATGATAAAAACCTCCAGTCTTTTCCAGAGATTAGGTATTACAGCCATAGGGTAGGAGAAAAAGGAACTGTTGCTCAGTAGGCATGGCTTCAATAAAACCAAATAAGAACTGTAGCAATGAACATTCCTGATGGGTTATCGCTATATTAAACTACAACTCTAGACAAACTCATACATGGATGCGTAAATACACGAGGCAGATGCCCAGGTTAGCATTTTATACTTTTTAGTGCTGTCATATTATCACAGTTGGATAATTTAGTCGTGATGCTCTCACTATTTCTCTAGAAAACACCTGGTTTATACCGAGTTTTTTCCCCGAGCTTTATTCAGTTTGCGTAATTATCCGAAAGCTAGGATCCCCATGTGCTTGTCACAGGAGTATTTATTTTCCTTCCTAAAAACTGGGATGATTAGTGATGCACACAAGTTCAATGGAATTATTTCAGAATCTACAATACTGACCAATAGTCATTCATTATCACTATACTAAAATATATTTGGAGACAAACTGCTATCTAGTCTTGATGCTTCACTTCGTTTAGTTTGGAAACACCAGTTGCAACCACCAGCAGAGTTGAAGAGTCGATTCCTATATTTCATTCAAGTTCGGGGTTGGACAATCTATTTTTGTTTGAAATCAGCCAGCAGAATCACATTTACCATACACCACACTTGTTGTGTGAGGGTTGACGATAATACCCAGTTATCCAGGATGAAGCAGGTAAAGCGGGATTTGAACTCAGGATCAATGGGATGACAGTGAAATGCTTAGACCAGTGATTATGGAAGACTGTAGGTACGTTGAAACATTCCTGCTATCTTTCCTAAGAATTTATTTAACTCCTGTTTTTTGGCATATTGTTTTACTAACCATAACGTTTTCAGAACCCGTTTTAAAAAAACACAATAACCACGCCGAAATTAGAGTGCCATTCAAATAGAAAGGTAAGTTACACATTTTAACTTAGTTTATGCAGTAACTACAGTGTTACTTACAAATATTAAAGTCGATCATTTGAGTTAGTTAAGGTATCAAAGTAATTCGAATGAGATACACCATAAGATAGTTGGAAACCTAGTGAAGAACTCAGCCATTACTATGCGTATTATGGTATACAGTAAAACAACAGTGAAATCAAATTGCAAAGAAAAAAGGAAGGATTAATGACCAAATGGAACCCACAAAAAGAGAAAGAAATGAAAAGGGTTGCAACTTGAAAGCTATAATAGCATTCTGTGACAACTATAGACAATAATCTAAGACCGAAAGATTATAGGATAAATAATGGAGTATTAAGTAGTAGGATAGAAAGCAATCTAAAAATATTTACACATTTTTATAGCATACCTGGATTATTCATAGGCGTTAGTTTGAATCCCAATTTTTTGTACATATTTAGTTGTGTCTGCAATGTACTACGCAACTCTTCATACTGATGATGACGTCGTTCCAAATCAGCACGTTCATTTTCTATCAATTGCCTTTCTTTAGCTATTTTATTGTGTTCTCTTTCGATAGCAGATCGTTGTTTCTGATATTCTTTCTCCCATTCATGACATTTACGTGTAAAATTTTCGTAATCTTGACGTAATTTTTCTGTTTCTTGTTTAACTGTACTATTGTCAATTAGATAAACTCCACTGCTACCTCCAGTATTACCATCTGGGTGAGTTCCACTCCCCTGTGACGATGATGATGCACCACCACCACCAAGTGTAGAACGCATAAGTACTTGATTATCTCGACTACGAAAATGTTCCCAATTCGATCGTTCAGCTTCCAGTTTAGCAAGAGTTGCACGTAATTCTACATTTTCAGTACGTAACAATTGTACTTGTGGCTAAACCAGTGTAAATATAAAGAAATGTATGTAAAAAAATGTATCCAAAAATAATTTAATGGCATGAACTTTAATCATCAGAATATTTAGGTTATTAATGTACATAAAATATATATAAATACGCGTTGATTTTCGTAATAAAACGATCTGTTGCCTGGCCCTTGTCTTCTGTTGTTACAAAAACAGTTTATCGCCTTTCCACTAGTTCCTGTCCATTCTACACGAGCTTATTGGTTAGTCATTATCTCACACTTAACACACCATGTCAACTTCTGCCTCTTTTCTAACTTCCAATTAGTTACCCCTTCTAGGTTACACCTGACATTACGTAATACGTTTTCCGAGGACAAAGTTTACCAGTATCTGATTGGTCTAATGATATTTTTTGTTAAATATAATTACTATAGTTTGGTTTGTGAGGGTTAGTTATGTTTTTACGAGTTGATCACGGATTGATATCAGTTAGAGAACCATTGAAAACCAGGGAGTACTGGACAGCTGCTGTTTCATCCTAGTTTGGGAATCACCGGCAGTACGCACCCACTGGGATTCGAACCCAGGACCTTCCGGTTACAAGGCAAGCTAGCTCGTATACCATTCAGTCACTGGGATCTGATTCAATGGCTCATGAATTCTAACTTCTACCAATTCGTGATTTAGCGCGAAGTTAGAATTCATAAGCCATTGAATCAGGTCCCAGTGACTGAATGGTATACGAGCTAGCTTGCCTTGTAACCGGAAGGTCCTGGGTTCGATTCTCAGTGGGTGCATACTGCTGATGATTCCCAAACTAGGATGAAACAGCAGCTGTCCAGTACTCCCTGGTTTTCAAAGGTTCTCTAACTGATATCAATCCGTGATTAACTCGTAAAAATATAATTACGATTGTACAGATCATGAAAATGAATCGTCGAAAAGAAAATTTTCTTCGCTGTTTACGTCTTTTTCTTACGACTCAATATGGGAATATTTCGTTCATTTCTTTGAACTGTCTAAAGTGGTAAATTCAAGTTGGTAATGACCAAAACACGAAAGATCTTAGAAATCCAATGTTTACAAATATCTTGGTAAATTAACAGGTTTTAGTGACACTGAGCTTAATATGAAGGGAGTCTATTTGCATTTATCAAATGATACTCTTTTGAATGTAGCTAAACCATTATTTTATCAGTTAAGTAAACAATTTCAATGTACATTTCGCTACAAACCAACATCACCACTAGCCACCTGTTTTCTCCTCGTTGGGGACTCTCAAGCAGTGCACACCTGTGATCCAACTGGGGTTAAAACCCTGAAGAGTCCCATAATACGACGAAACAGCTGTCAAGTGGTCTAAGGTTTACAATGATTCTTTAATTAATGTCAGTTCGTAACGAAATTTACGTTGAAATTTATCGAAATTAATCTAACAAGGACAAATCGAAAACAGTTGTATATTAATTGTAGCTTTCATAATGATTAAATAATAGTAAAAGAAAGTCAGCATTTCATTATAGTAATTGAATACTAAGCAGTATGAACCCATGATTTCATAAAGCGTAAGGTTTAACACGGTCAAAGTTCCCATAGAAGCATTGTAACCTATTATCGAACTACTTTAGATTCCTGAGAGTATACTAAATATAGTGTATCATCATCGAACACAGTACAGAATGAGAGTCAAATCTCTACCTCCAATTCATCGACTTAAAAGAAGCCTTTATTGGTGTCGATCGTGAAACGAATTGGAAACTGCTTCAACACTGCAGTTTGCACCAAGCTTTAATAAGCCTCATTCAACAGCTGTATGTTGACAGCACATGCCAAGTGATTCACAACAGAAAGCTTAGCGAAGCCTTTGAAGCAAAGATAGGAATAAGATAAGACTGTCTACTATCATCGATGATATTCTTGACTGTGGTGAACTAGAGGCAAGAAGAAAAGTTTACATTGCACCGCTAAAAATACTCTAGAAAACCTGAACTTTACGGATGATTTACGTCTACTGTCACACAAACTGAAATATCTACAAGCAAAAATCAAGAAGTTATCAGAAAAGGCAGTGAAGGCAAGAGTTCTAGTGAACATAGAGAAGACAGAGTTAATGAACAGACCCAACGAACGACAACAACAACAAGTGTCAATCACTATCAATGGGAGATATTTCACGGAAGTCAGTTATTTCATTTATCTAGGCAGGATCATTTCAACTACAGGTGGTGCCGATAAGGATATCAAAGCCAACCACGACCGAAGAGGCAAGACAAAACTTCATTAATCGGAAATCAGCATAGGAATCTACGGTATTCTGCGTATAGGACAAGATCTGGATCTTAAACACGAATGTCGAGCCAGTGTTTCAATACAGTTGAGGGAATCAAAACACGCACCAGGACAAGCATTTCCAACAGGTTCCTCCAAACTCTCCACTGATTATCAGATGACCCGCTGGAAAGGATAATCAACAAGAAACGCTGAAAATAAACCAACCAAGAACCTGTCTCCCAACAAATATGTTGTAGGAAATGGAAAGGATACACAATGAGGAGACTGTTGAGTGACATCAGACACAAAACAAGCACTCTAGTGGAACCCGAATCGAGAAAGACGAGTTAGGAGTGATTCCGAGGTTGAGAAGGAGTAGACTGAAGCCTATGAGCAATCATAGAGGTCGCTAAATAGGATAACAGCATGAAATGGAGATGTGATTCTGAAACCCTGTGCTTCTTTGGGAACCCATGCAAATAATAATAGTATTAATAATGAATAGGTTTAAGGAATTTACTCAACATTATGATAATGGTGAAACGTGTTGATATGAAGAAGAAATAATAGTGAAACTTACAAAAAGTGCTTCACCAATTCTGTTCAATTCACCAAGTAATACTAATGCTTCAGCACACGGTTGACTTAATGCTAATGAATTTGTTCCATCTGTTAACGAGTCTGTATTGAATGAACACTGATTCGTTGGTGAAAGTTGTTCGCCAACTCCGGTTAGATTTAAATTACTTAGTACTGCGAATGATGGACGCGGAGGAAGAGGTGGACCATTTGATTGTGATGGTGTAGTTGACCCAGGTTGACGTTGTTTAATACTTTTAAGCCCTCCTCCTGGTGTATTTGTACAAGTTCCATTCGATGTATGATCAGTAGATGATTGGTTTGTTGAGGACAAATTTTTATCTCGACTAGGAGTACGAAATATACTGGCCATAGTGGCGCTAAGTCGATGAACATCTCTCTATAATAAACAAAAACAGAAGAATAATTGAAGGAATGCAAGAGTAACAGAATACCAACACACACACACACACACACACACGTGAAATTGACCAAGGAAAGTTGTTAGATTAATTGTTAGTTTATCACTTCACTAACTTACAGAAATAGTTTGATACTACAAATTCTAACATGATGATACTGATGTTTCTTTTTATGTTCACAATGCTGAGAGATTACAACGAATACCTTGTTCAGTTGACTGGAAAACTCAGCGATAATTACTGAAGATTTAACATACTAATTATAGCTGAATAATTGATCTGAAAATCCTTCTATGAACAATCCGTTAATCATATTGATATTTATGTGAATACTTCAACTAATTTTATTCCTCAAGTTTGCTTACGGATTGATATCAATCAGAGGACCATTGAAAACCAGGGATTACTGAACAGCTGTTTCATTCTAGTTTGGGACTCATCGGCAGTACTCACTACTGACTGGGCTTAGAACTCAGGATCTTCGGCTTAACATATATTGACATATATTTCAATCAAACCTTCCATACCTAGTTTAAATCTATAAATAATATTCCTTTTCTGACTTACGTAACTAAATGGATGAAATGTTTACGTATATGAAACTTAAGAATATTCTAAGCGTTATCTCATTGTTATACAGTCTTAACATAATCTTTCAGTCAGTCGGTCTTTGGATCTATAAAACAGAACTCAAATCTTTCTCATAGCAAACACTGAACGAATTCGATTGATTCACTACATAGGATATGCCAATGCTTACTGATCATTTAAACATATAATTGATCCCATCGAATCATATAAGAGTGAATTCACCATTAATTTAGTCTATCAGGCGAATAAACTTGTCACTTGATTTTATTTAGTTGATGTTGGCTACCAGTGACATCCAGGATGCCCAATTCGTCCTGTGTGGGACTCGTCAGCTGGATGCACTTACATCTCTAGTAAATGCTTATGTTCCCGCTGAAACTCAGAACCAACACCCGTTCGTTTCAAACATTATCAACCAAATAAAAACATGTCAACCTTCAAACACCACCGGAGCATTTGTGCTAAAAGCTGACATGTCGATAAAGACCGAGTATTTCGACCGATTATGAATGCAATCAAAGGGAAACACAAAATAACTCAAAGGACTTGACTCTTCCATATATATAGACGTGACTGAGCTACCTATGCAGAAATACAATAATAATAATTTGAGAGTTATCAGCATTGATGGGTCCATAGGTTGAACATGTAAGTAAACAGACAGATATAGCCTACTCTACTTAGTAGATATGAATGAATCCCGGTGTACATAACTTGAAAAACTCACTTTTTTCGACTTCATATGGCCAACATCAATTGAAGACCTTAATTCAGTAGATACTATAATAATGTGAAGAAAGAATAAAAAATCCCGAATAAGAAATTTAATCGCAAACCTATAGTCAAAGTAGATACATTCTAAATTAACGGAATACACAAAAATTTTAAAAAATTACGAAAAAAAGGTTTGTTAGTTTGTTTCACTACTCACTCATATCCTTTTTTCTTAGTTATGTGTATTCAAAATATTGAAATAAAACTGTTTAATTCGTTGAAGAAAGAACCGGTTAGACTTAAAATGGTTATTAACAAGAAGCAATACAAATAGTTATTATTGTTATAATTGTATTTTCTGAGATGGTTCATTGTTTCTCTAAACAAGATTTTTAGTGCTGACTTCATATCTATGCACCTCAAAGGATACAATTACACCAGTATTTTAAGAATTTATTGATTAGAATGCAATGAACAATGACAGTTTCCTTATGTACCGGTATCTTTGAACCACACTTATTATATAAGCATACGCACCGGTGGTACAACGGTAGAATGCTCGCCGACTACGCATATGGTCCGGCGTTTAATCCCCGTCCGACGAACTCCTTAATCTCTTTACGCCAGTAATAAGACTGGTAAAGAGGAAAGGTTGGGCACGAGGCTAGCAACCCATCCCTTAAAAATAAACATCACTGCTACCGAAACTTCAAGGCTCTAGCTTGAAGACCCATATTCCACTGGGAACGTAAAGGAATAAAATATAAGTACAGTGTGAACATACTATCCAACTGCCCGGTATTCATTGGTTAAAAGTCAGGCGCTAGCCACAGGAATTGATTGCAGTCTAGAGAATAATGTATTCAAAGATTATAAAGCATATTCATTTCAAAGGTGAGATAGACATCATGGGCACTACACCATTTCTCTTTTCCATATATGGGTGGACGCACTAGCGTAGCGCACTAATTAACACAAAAAATGAATTAGTTGGTTAAACAAAAGACTAATTATAATTTTCCCCTTTAATTAAGACAGAAATGGTAACTAAGCAAAGCAATTATATACAGTATGACGTAGTTGATGAGTTACACAGACATCGTCAGTCAGTCAGGGAAAGAAATTTCACGGCTTTTATTGTACATTGACGACGACGACAACAATAACAAAAAAGGCGAATGAAAAATGCATGTGTACTGTCTGAGACAAGGAGAACAGAAAGACACTAGGCTAACAATAACAACAACAACAAAAGTAACATCTGTCCGAATAAAATATTCCTGTAGACTATTAAATGTCATCTGTAAATAATTATTATACTACTAACTACTAATAATAGTAGCAAACCAACATTTTTGTGTCTGTGATGAAAAATCACTCCCAAGATATTTTTCTATTTCACTGTTGTACGTTTTACATAATACTATTCATCACCTCGAAAGAGAAGCACCACCACCTGAAATTCTTTCTCCATTGGAGAAGGAAAAAATTATTTCTGTTCACCAGATATAAAGGAAAACAAAAGTGCAGACTGTTAAACTGCAGCATTATTACGCCCAAACACATACACACACAGAAATTTAGTGAAATCAAGGTTGGGGGGGGAGAGAGGAGAAGAAAACCTCCAATAACAATGATCGATTCAGTGAGAATAATGGTTTCTCTGTTATTTACGCATATTTCATGAATGGTATGGTACGTGAGAAATTTCAACAGAGAAAAAACAAAAAAATAATATACAAGAACTAACAGCCTCTTTTTCCAAGAGTATGAATCGAATTGTCAAAGAAGAATTACATTGTGTTTTATAAACACATGACAGTGTGTTCTATACTACGTAATGTAATTTATATTATGCTTGTGTATACGTAATGATTATGTCAAAATCCAGGTAGTTTAAAGAATCACTCATAACTGAGTAGAAGTCATTTAAAATAATACAATCAAGAAAATCTGATCATAGAGAAGTGTAGCCTACCTACACAAACTGAAAATCATGTAAACGAGTAAGAGCTGACGAGCCTAACGAATAACAATTAATTGAAATTTGGGTTTGTTTCGATTAATTCTCATTTTAAATATATGCTGTGTTAATAAAGTTCACCAAAAGCTGAATTCAAAGCTTATAAAAGCATCGATGAAATAACCAGTGAGGTGAAGCAGGATAGCACGAATGACAAACAAATAAAATTAGATAGATAAAACTCTTTATAACTTGTCAACAAAGCTGAACACGACAAGAGGTTTTCTCTTAAATGATAATAGGAGAACATCAATAAGAGTGGGAACATCATTGTCAATCGACAGACGACTGAAGGTGAAATGATGCTTGAGCAGTGAAAAGATTTGGATTAAAATAATATCAGTGATATATGATCACCATAGACAAATTATATTATTGTTATTCCCATGGATTTCCAAAGGAACACAAGGCTTCAGAATCACATCTCCATTTCATCGTGTTATCTATAATCTTCTTTAGAGACCTCTATGATTGCCCATAGGCTTCAATCTGCTGTTTTTCACCCTTGGACCCAATCATAACTCTTCTTTCTCGATTTGGGTTCCAATAGAGTGCTTACTTTGTGTGATTTCACTCAACGGTCTCCTCAATGTATATCCTCTCCATCAATATATTTTTCGGTTGAAAGGTTCTTGGTTGGTTTGCTGTCAGAACTCCTTGTTGCTTGCCTTTATGGTCATTCGATAATCAGTATCGAGTGAATACGGTGTTTAACGAAAGTTCGCAGTCGGATGTTGGATTTCAGAGTAATGAAGTTCTGTTTCGCTTTTCCAATATTGTCTTTGATATCCTCAACCATGCCACCTGTATTTGAAGCGATGCTGTCGAGACAAGTGATAAGTGAAAAATTCGCCTTTTAATCGTGACTGATGCTTCTTCTTGCTGGTTACGTAAGGCAATATGATTGTGATTACATTATATATATATGATTGTAGCGAAGGAAGAAAAATAAACTGTATACAAAATTCTTATGGAACCGGTTAAGTTTTTTTCTGTGATAGCTGAAGATTATTTAAATACATCTAAAAGATCTTTCAAAGAAATAAATTCAAAATCAATGAATATCATAGACATTCACCATAAGACCCACCAGGAGAAACTCTCTACAGACCATACATGGGTTAAACTAGAAATAATGAAGGTGAAATGATAGCTCGGGTTACGACAGGATTTGAACCAGCAAATAATACAAGAGCTTTTATTCTATCTTCAACTATCACTCAATTACACCAGTCTTCCATCCCAATGTTACTTCAAATAATTGCACAACCAATTAACAGCCTGATGCTTTCCAAGGAAGTGAGTGTGATTAAAATTGATAAAAGGTGTAGATGGGCATATAGTCGTTTATCAATTATTTACAAGACTACAGAACGCTACTCTTGGTGACTACAGTGATATAATGACCCAGTTAGCAGTTACATCTTACAGCTCAGGTGGGAAAGCTCTGGACTAGTAGTTCGGAGGCTGTTAGTTGAAATATTGCTACGATCTAGATTTCCATTTCCCCTTCAATCATCACCTATTACATATATACCAAACTTCTTCTTTGAACATGTACCAAAATGTTTGCATCTCAAGAAAACAAAAGCTTTGAACAGTGCTATTGCTAGAAATCTTGTTGGCATGGGCCATGAGGCAGATAGCATGAAATCCTTCAATATTATTAATAGATAGTACAACTGAATTCTCCTCAAATTTGCCTAAGCAATAGCTAATAAACGCATAAAACTTGACTGATTCACTTATTAGTCTTTCTTTGCCTTGATGTCTGAATGTCTATTCTCTTTGTCTCAATTGGTTAAGCAGTCTTTTGCTTTCATCACTCCCTCCCACTTTTGCCTTAGTATATCTCAGTTCCTTTTGTTTTAATGACTTGAGTTAAACTAACCATACGGTTATTCATAGTCTAATCTTTTCTTGAGTGTGCAACTCAACTTTAAATGTAACCAACCATTAATTTTGCATGTTTGTATTTTGACCTCCTTCATCGGTTATCTTATAAATGGGAATTTATAAACATTTGTCTCTGCTAACAGAAATCATGTTGATCTATGCTGCAAGTAAGTATGACAAAATTCTGTGTACATTTACATAAACAACTTTTAGGCTGTAAGCAGTTGAAGAGAATCCGAACAAACATTTGTTTTTGCCTTTGTTTAAATACTTCAAAAAGTTTTAACTAGAAATGCATGTGTAAGCACACCTCAATAAGAGAATAGATCGTTAGTTAGATAGCGCACCAAACTAATTTAATTTAGTATAAACACACCTCTACATTGATAATTTACAAAGTTAACAAAAAAGGTTGACATAAAATTGAAGTTATAGAAACAATGTTTTAAGTTATTATTATTATTAAACAAAAAACCACGAAATTATTTATTAGGTAGGTGATTCTATTAGTCACATTGACAACTAATCTCAATTGCTTGAAGGAGTACCTTACTAGTGTTATTGTTTTGTATAGGAATCTCTAAGAAATCTAATTATCCGAATGAAATTTACCGCAGTCCAATTTTTGTCTTCCAGCAGTCTTTCGAATTTGGATCATTACTATCCAATTTTTATATAATGGAACAAAAACAGTATTAGGTTTACACTAACTAGGCAAACTACATATACACAGAGATTAGCAGCAGTTAACTGATTGAGCATTTCTGTGGAATGCAATAGTGAGAGGAAAAGCCAAAGAAAAAAAAGACGTTCTCTATTATTACACACAATTACACACTACTTGCTGGACGAATGGTTAGTCTATAGAAAATAGCTGAAGGCAGTAAAAGATAAACGGCTGGATGATGTGCTTCAAAGTTTCCTAGTGTATATATATACTTATTTGCTTACATTCTGTTAAAAATTCCTCTATACTTCCTTCTACAAATAACAATAGTGAAAAAAAGTCCAAAAAGGAAGGATATAGATAAGTTGGTGGATAGGTAGGTAGGTAGGTAGGTATGCATTAGTCTTTTTCCCATACATTCAAATACCATTAAAAATCTACATATTTCATAAAAACCTACCTGCAACCCTGTTGAATCTCTCATATTAGCAGCTATGTTGTGATAAATTGTATGATGGTCGCACACACACACACACATAAAGAAACGAATGAAACAGATCAACAAACGATGGTAAACAACGAAAAAAAGTAATTTACATGAAATTCAAAGCCAACTGAGGCTAGAAACAATTTTTTGTCATTAGACTGTCGGACTACTCAGCCAATTTACTCATGATATCTGACAGACATTTTCAATTTCGAAACAAAATGAGTGGAGAATATGCATTTGAAAGAAATCCCGAACACTTTTCCTAGACTGTGGAAAAACAATATATGCGACCGTGATTCAATGCTAGAATACTCGACAACCACACACGTGGCATAAGGTTCGATTCCCGACTGATGCACGCCTCAATCTAGTATAGTTGTTAGTTGGAAGTGAGGCTAGCAAAACTACTGCTGGTGAAACCTCAAAAGATTGAAATCCTATATTCCATTCAGAAGGAGAGGGACTGAAAAAACGGATATCGGCATATTTACTCACAGTGTAAAAGTTATATGCTAACTGCAAACTAGTAACTCCCATTATATGAGTGACCAACCGTCCCTGCCACCCCTTCTGCAATCCTACTTTAGTTAAGTTTTACTTTTAGGAGCAATTTAGTGTTCACTCACTTACAAACTAACTTGCTCAATCTTATTCCCTTGGCCTTTTTCTCATACCTGTTTTGTAAATGCATTCATCAGACTTCTTATGGAGTTTATTTATTACTTGTATTCATTGCGTGTTTTTTTTTCTGTTATGCGGATTATTTCTAAATCTGAAGTGACTACATAAATGGCATAGATGGGAATAAATATGCAGTCAAATGTAAATAGGAAGTATTCGCTGAGAAATCCTCCGAGATTTATTTGCATATCAAATTATATTCTCTGTCACTAATAATATATGCGTAAAACGTAGGCACTATAGAAAGAAGAAGAGTAGTACGCCATTCCATCTGTCAGTATTTCTTCTATCTGATAAATCATAGTCACAAGAGGAAACAGAATTATTTCCTGGATGACATTTACAGCACTTATTTATAGTTCACTAAATCATTGTGTCAAATGTAACTGTACGACATTGAAACTTGAATTTATAGCAAATGAATGATAAGTAAGCTGGAAGTAACTTCATAATGCATCTACGATAACTAGATTCAGAATTTCATTAGAAAATATAGATGACTATAGTAAGTGGCAACACATTAAGGCTAGACAGTTTTATCAATTGGTCAGAGATCAAGATAAACACCTCAGGATATCAATGTAAATGACGGTTATTGCTTTAAAATATTAATCTCAATTTTTCTAGATTGTGATTGATTTTTAGGCATAATGTGTTTTGTACCTGATTGAAAAGTGAAGTATGCTGGAGAAATTAATTTAAATAAAAACAGAATTAACAGTTATATATATGCTTAAGTGTATGTTGGTTACTCACCAGGCACATTATCATGTGCACTAAATGTTTCGTGTTTTTTAACTGGATTTGCTGGAGGACGTTTACTTCCATCAACATCTGAGGCACTTCGGGATAAATTGGAAGACGGACCACTGAGAAGGGCGAAAGACAAACGATGATCTAAAACAAACAAACAAAAACATCAACAATGCACAAACAAAGACAAAAACACAACATGAGTACGTTTACTAACATTTAGTATATGTACAACGGTTTCTTAGTATTAACAATATATTGCTCAAGCTCTGATCGCTAGTTAAAGTTGATGGGTTACAAAATACAGCCTACAGGATAGTGAAAAGTATTACAGGCTTCGAGTCAATTGGTAGTAATCACCACGGATTGATATCAGTTAGAAGAACGATTAAATAGCTGTTTCGTTCTAGTTTAGGATATTTCAACAGAATGCACCGATGACCTAACTGGGGATCTCTAATTAGTATTAGTGAATGATCAGACTTCAAAACGATCCAATCTCTACAATCTAATAATATTTGAAAACCTGTCTAGTACTTACTGATCATCACATTTGTTATATAATATCGGATAGAAATAAGTTTACTAGAAAAGATATTAATATATACTAAGTATTCATTACTACAAATCAACTTACAATATTCATGAAGTAAATGAAACAGTTGATCTAATTCATTATAAGCATCAAGATTTGAAATAAACGTGTTCAGTTTGAGCGTATCCATAGTAACTACATATTCGGCATTACTGTTGTTATTATTATTATTTGATGTGGTATTATTAGTGGTAGCAGAGGCAGGCAAATCAGCTTTTGTACTTCGACGACTGGCAGAATGAGGAGTTAATGATAACGCTGACTGTTGTTTTTGTTGGTTCAAGAGGGTATTCGCTGTAACCACATTCATTTCAGCTAAACGCTCAGTAATTAAAGAGGATGCAACGAACTCCCAAATGTGCCAAAATTTAAGACGATTTTCATTCAACTGATGTAGCAGTTCAAGAATACCTTCAGTACGCTTTTGTTTTTCGCTGATTTCATCACGAGCTTTAGAAAATTCTTCAGCTGTAAGGTTATAAAAATTCAAAAATTGATAGCCATAGACTGTTTAACATGCACGAATTCAAACAAAAAAGATATAGGTTTTATGTTATTGGAGGATAGTGACTAGCAGTGGGATCCAGCATGTGTACTTCGTCCTGTTTGGGACTCGTCAGCCAGATGTATCTGCAGTTGAAATTCAGCGATGGTGTTCACATCGGGACTTGGAACCGGCAGCCACAGTTCCAAACAGAGAAGCGTCATCCACTAGACCACGAGATAACCCTTGTGCAACGATATCGGCTATCCGTTTGTTTAGGTTAATTTCCACTTCGCTTTCATTGATTGGAGAGAAATGTTCGGCATCTGTTGACATGCCCGGTTTCTAGTACGGCCATCTCGACGATGTTTCAGGATTAACATGATGCTATTTAATGTGTGACACTTAGCTATGAAATAGAAGATGAGCATTTAATCTGAACTGATGAGAACTCGATTACAGTCTCAGTGGGAACACGATCGGTTAATAAGGCTTGCAGGTACATCCAGTCGACGAGCCTCAAATAAGATGAAATGTGCATCCTGTGTTCCACTGCTGGTCGGCACCCATTAAATAACATCATGTTAATCCTCAAACATTGTGGAAATGTCCGTACTAGGAGCCCACATTCCAACATAGGCCAAACATTTTGGTTCAAATCAAGCAATGGGAATAAACTAAATTCAATTAAACAAAATATATTGATTTTATCTTGCTCACAAGGCAACTGGTGTAGTAATAAAAGGATATCAGATAAAAATCGGGGTTAAATTTGATTCTACTTAGAATAGTTCGTCTATTATCGAATACTTTCAATGTCAGCTTTTCTGAAGCCGTTGCATTGTATACTACTTATGTCTTTTTATGAGTAGTAGAGAGTATATACATAATGATTTACTTCTAACAAATCAATTCACATTAACGCACTTCGTCAGTTTAGTCTGTTTAAAAGTTTTATGGATGAAAATAACAGAAGAAAGACAACCAAGATTTTTGTTGAAAGCCATGACAATATTATTTTGCTCAAATTATTTAGAAATGTCTCATGCAGCGGCCCAGGTCATTTAAGCCTTCAGTTATTTTATCGCCTAATTTTTAAGTTTATATGTCTTTACAATCACAGTGAACATAATATATATCCAAATAATAACCTGTTTATTCTGTCTGTGTATAGTGAGCCTTGATTCATAAGAAAGGAATAAGACAATGAAGTATACAGCTTGAAACAGGTTCTAAGATTACAATCTTTTGCCTAGAGAATGTCTAACAATCATTCGTATGCAGAAAACAATGATGCCTATGAAAAACACACGGAAAACTTGGATTATTAAATCACACATTACCGGATCTGTATCAGTGGTAGCAAACGTGATAATATCTAGCAGTTAATATCGGTTTGTGCGTCGGTGGCACAGCGGTTAGGACGCTCACCAACCATGCTCATGGTCCGGGGTTCAATCCCCGGCCGACACACTCCTTTACCTCGCGAAGCCAGAAATAATGCTGGTAAAGAGGAAAGGTTGGGTATGAGGCTAGCAAACCCATTCTGTAAAATTAAATACTACTACAGAAACTTCAAGCCACCAGCTTGAGGCCCTATGTTCCATAGGGAACGTGAAGGAAAACAATATTGGTTTAGCACTTTGTAGGTGGCCAATACTTCTATTCCTACTGTCAGTCAGTAAGATAAAGTGCTCAAGAAATTAACATTAAAACTAGTAAATACACACTAGTACGCCTTTCTGACATAAAGGGCCACGTGGACAACCCAGTTCTTATCATTAAAATAATTAAAAATATTATATAAGTTTTTTGTTAGTTCGAAAAGAACGCTTTATCTTGTTGTTTCTTACAGATGTGATTCCAAAAGAAGCTCCAGTGAACGAAATTACGTAACACCCCTATACATAGATATATATGATTTATGAGTACGTACTTTAACCCACCACTAAGAAAGGCAACGTAATTTTAAGAACTAATTATATGCACAGTGTGATCTTTGTAGGTGCATCGATGGTCCAATATGGTAGGGCGCTCGGCAACCCCGCAGGTGGTCTAGGGTTTAATTCCTGGCCGACGCACTCAAAATCTCACACAGTTTAATAGCCGACGGTAAAACTAGAGTAAAAGGAAGGTCGGACTTCGAGCTAGCAATCCGACACCGTAAAACTGAGATTTCAAAACTTGAAATCTTTTATTCCATTCGGAACGTACGAAATGGAAAAATACGAATTCTGTTTAACAGTGGAAGATATTTTCTGCAAACAGTTTTCTATTTAGTTGACTACGGTTAAAATCCAGTAATTAATGTTACATACACCACGGACAGCTGTCAAATAAATGGAGCAAATTTGTTTTTTTTAACTTCTGTTTTGATAATTGATGAAATTTTATATCCAGACATTTCGTAAGCGAGCGTCTGCTTTTCTGATTGAGACAGAATCAAGAATCGTCATCATCATTTAGAAGTGAAATGTTTGTCTAGGAATTTTCGCACTGAGCTTAAATGACTGACATTTTCAATGATGTTATAACGCTACTGATTGACTGACTTATTAACACAGAAATTTGCACAAAAGTGCATCAACTCGAGTTTTAAAAATGTGGAGAAATATACACGAAATTAGAAAGAAATCTTGATGGCGAAGAGAAGAACTAACTGATGACTAGTGAACAATATATGATTTAGCTGATGATGGAGAAGCAGGATGCTTCTTTCGTCCTATTTGGCACTCGTCAGGCGGGTGTACGTGTAACTTGCTTGCTTTACTTCGGCTATCTCCTGCGAGAGGATGAGCCGGCTTCATGAATGTCTCGAATCATCGCTGCCCAGGCGCGGCAATTTGTAAGAGAGTTCGTTAAGTTTCATGGGAATTTGGTACGAGTGATGTCCCCAGCATCGCTCGGCCTTTTGTTTGAGAGTGCAGCTCTAGCCTTTACACAGCCAAGTGTGACCTACAAGGCAGTAGGAGTGGAGTAAGGAGTCCACTATCCATTGGCAGCCGGTGACCGGAGTTCGGTTCATACGCCTTTTTGAATGGGGCCAGACATCCAGGACATCCAACAAGCCCTTTGTCCATACGTCTGCCGGTGAGCTCCAGTGAGCTTCATACGCCAGTCGTTGGAGGTTTGGAATCAAGCAGGGTTTAGCCATCTCCCCTAGACTGTCATCCAATGGACAGTCAACCCGGTGGAGAGCGCCGGGCATCCGCTCGGCGATGGGAATCCCAGTCGATTTCGGTACACATTGTTCTAATCGTTATCCACGGACCTGGTGAACCATGAGAGGCAGCTCTTGTGCACAGCTATTGGCCATACGTTCTTATTATTATTCTACGTTCCTTGTTGACAGGTTGTATTGGTTCCAAATACATTTTCTCTGTTGATATGTCGGCTCCTAGTACGGATGTTCTAAAGACGACCTAAGGCTAACATACAATAATTTAGTTGGTCCAGTTGATGAGTACCAGGTAGAAGGAAGCGCGAGTCTAGGATTATATTGTTGTCTACCGTTAACCGAATCAGACAATTTTAGCTTCAAAACTTCATCGAAGTCAACATGTCAAAACAAATCGGGTATTTCAGTCCAATGAACAGGAAATTCAGAGTAAATTCAATAAATTTGTGAAGGAAATCAGGGTCTGGTAAATGACAAAAACTGAATACATATGTCTCATTGTAAAGGTTGGTATAAATCACTCTCCTTTGTATGAAAGCACTACTAACTTTAAATTCATTCTTTTCATCATTGGTGAATATCTCAATTCGAGATTAACGGATTAAAAAACGTCTAGTAAATGAGACAGTCGACTTGGAAATACATGAGACAACCGATGGTTAGCAGAGAATAGGAATGAACTTCATTCCCAAGTAAGGGGTATGAATGTATTTGATGGGGAAATGTCCACATCAAGAGAAAAAAGTTATCGTACTATACTTCGAAATTTATAGGTTACAACCGATAAAGACACATCATCCAAGCACTTCAAAAGAATCATTTAAATATATTATTTTGACTACAATAATAAACTTAATAATAATATTTAATAGAAACTACTGATCGCTGAATTAATTTTGTGCAGTCATGTACTGCATCGATGTGCGTTGGTAGTTCAGTGGTAGAATGCTCGGCAACCACGCAAGTGGTTTAAGGTTCGATTTCCAACCAGTGTACTCCTAAACCTTGCTTAGCCGACAGTAAGTCTACTAAAGAGGGAAGACTGAGCGTGAGACTAGCAACACCCCGTCGTGAAAGAAAACATTGCCACTATTGAAACTTCAAAACCCAAGCATGAAACCCTATTTTATAGTCAGCACGCCAAAGAATGAAAAAAAAATGTATTGCATCGAGTGAATGAATAGCTGGTAAATTCTGGGTGAGATTACAAACAAAACATTAATCTTTTCAGATATTTCAATGATTATTTAACCAGCTAAATGATGAATATGCTGTTTATGAAATAAGGAAACGTATTCCTGCAATATAGAGTTGATTATGTGTTAACATACAGTGAAACTACTTATGAGGTTGAACCCAAGAGTGCCAGTTTTTTGATAATTCTCTCACATCGGATGCATTTGTATGCGTGCATGTGTATGGGAGTGGTTTAATTTAATGTGGTTTCATAAGTACAAACTTAGAAACCTTTGAACATGAAAAATTAGCATTTATCTACTAGAAATATTGATTAAATGAAAACTGGATCCTAACTTATTGAAATCAAGAGTTGACGTTGTTTGGTTTTTTACCAAACTTTTAGTGAATACAATCTATTTAAGTTCTAAGTTCAAAATTCTTGTAAGAAGAGATAAAAGCATCAATTAAATTGAACAAAAGAGTGAACAACAATTACAATAATATTTAATTTCAGTGTACAAAGTTTAGAGTGAGTCTAAATTCTCTGGTTGTTAAGGTACACCAGAATACAAAAATGCAAAAAAGTGTAAAAAAAAAATAAAGTCAAATCATAACAACTGTTGAAACTTACACAAACTTTCAAACGTATCTGCTTGTTCACGCCATTGAGCAAAGCCATCATTGAATACAGTTTCCCATCTGGCTAATTCATCTACAGTTGCACAACGGAATAATGTTAAGGCTGTAGCAGAATGCAAAAGTATGTAGAAACCAAAACTGCCCTTTTCCATAGACTTTCTAAAATATCCATACACTTTACCCCACCAAAGAATGGGAGGCTAAAGAGCAAACAAAAATCAATAAACAGATGTATCATTAGGCAAATTAAACACTAGTGAAAAGACAAATTTAATAGTAGGTTTACAACAAAATTGATGTCTTGAAATGATTTCAGATAAACTACCTTTTTACTTAGAATACTTTACAGGGGAATGTTATATAAAAATAGTACTAGTCCAGTAGTAATTTTACAAGCTTCATTCTTATGTTCTTTCATAGCTCAGAGGCTACGACGACATGTAGCTTACATATATTTTTGTGCATTTGTAGTTTATTGTATGTTACGAAGTTCTAGATTAAATAAAACCTGTGTAAAAGGAGCGCAGTTGTCTTATCAGTCCGTGATCAACTGGTAAAAACAAAACTAATCCTTACAAACCAACTACAAAAAATCTGATGCTCGGTAGTGACTTGCTACAGGACGGAGTTCCCTAGAGTTCTAGTGAAAAGTCGTGACGAGTGAGGTCAATCCAGTCACATGCAAGGATGGATTTCCCACCGATGACATTGGTTGATGGTAGCGCTACATTACGACTTGGTAGAAGTTGGAATTCATGGACTAGCCATTGAATCGAGTTCCAAAGGCTGAATAGTATACGACCTTGCCTTGTAGCCGGAAGGTTCTGGGTTTGAGCCCTTTGCGGTGGGTGCGTGCTGCCAATGATTACCAAACTAGGATGAAACAGCTATCCAGTACTCCCTGGTTTTCAATAGTTCTCTAACTGATATCAATCCGTGATCAACACGTAAAGGAAAAACTAATCCTTACAAACCAACTATAGAAACTGAATTTGTTAGATTTCTTTAAGATGCTAGAGTTTAGTAAAGACGGCATTATTCAAATGTAGAAAAAGTAGAGGTCATGTACATTTAGGCAAAAGGTTATATTTGAAATAACCAGATAATTCTAGCTCATACTAAGAGCATATTAGCCGCTACTTCTACTATATTTTAGTCAACTGTGTAGTAGTATAAACCGCCATCATGCTGTGACTGAATAACTGAATTTTCAACGTAGAACTTTGCACTTAAGTACAATAGCTCGAGTTGTAACACTTCATATAGAGCAAAAGAGTAGAGAAGGAAAAACAATTCAAAAATTATAATGCAACAAAAATGTACCAGAGGAAGTATAATTTAACTTAGAGATATGGAAACCTAATGAATCTTGACGATTGCAGAGTAAATGAATCTGCGCCTATGGGAATGATTTTGAGCCATATCGCGATTAGTCTTAAACCGTCAGTTCTTAGCGTCCTTCGGAGTACAGATAGGCAGTTTGCACCACTCTACATGGCCTAAATTAACAGTCAAAAACTTAGTTGATAGATGCTCCAAATGTAATCCTATGTCGGCTAACACTGTTCGATGAATAAGGTTATGGCAATTCCTAATTATTGTGTAACGACAGAAGACAAGGGTCAGGTAACAGATTGTTTATTGAGAAAATCAAGAGGTATTTATAGATTTTATGTACATTATGTTAGTAGAGAAACAGAGTTTTCTGATTGGTTGTTATCTTGCTGAAGATTATTCTATTATCTTTTTGTGGCCGTTTCTCAGAGAGTTAAGCCATATCTGCAAATCACATTTCCACACGTTAACTTTGCTGTGATTGGCTGGTCATTTTCTCAGGGTTAAGCGTTGCTATTGTTTTTCTCATAACCCTGATTCCGGACGTAACAGTGACGTAAACTGTTATCTACAATTTTGGTATGCAGCCAGCCCTCACCACAATTGTAGTTTCACAACCTCACCAAAAAACTTCACTAACTCTATTTCGTTGAGATTGTATGCAAAAAGTTGCCATCAGTCACAATGACATATTAGCTTAGCGTAGATCTTTACAAACCATTTTTATTTATTAAACCTGAGACAACACAACATACTAATACTAGTTCTAAAAGAGTCATGAAAATTTTCTTAATAAGAAAACTGAGTAGTAAAGCTTATATGACAAGCTTTCACAGCATATCATTATCATCCATAAATATAATAGTAAACATACCATTTCTGTACCACGAAATAACTGATACCGGTTCGAGTCTGGTACTTTCCGAAGCATGAAAAAGCAATTTTCCAACGCTACACCTTCAACTTCATAGGATGCAGTGGCTGTTTAATGAGTAAAAAAGTAAAGTAAACGACGATTATTAATTGCATCAAAAGAGCTTAAAATATTACAATAATGAGTGAAAATGTGGACTTGAATATTGAGCAAAGTTTATCTTTGTCAGATCGTATATTTATAGGTAGCCAGCAGCAACCATGTTTAATAGCCTGCAAGTAGTATTCCATTCATGCACTCTAGGAACAAGCATGTCAACAATGACCGAGGATTTCTGTCCAATAAAAGCAATCAATGCGGGATTCAAGAAAAAAAATTTTCGACAAGATATTTTTTTGAATGAGACATTTTGTGGTACTGAAGGTATGCATATCCTCCTTAGAAAATGCTCTATAATCAGATATTTCTGGCTCTTTTACAGCTTATAATGAACTAACCAGTGATGTTCATCACGGACTATAACATCTATGATTATACGACAGATACATGGAACTGACTACTTCTTCATATGACTTTAAAAGAAATGATGTTTGCGATGTATATATTCTTTACATCAATTCAGTGTTTAAAGACCAACATAAACCACTGTGTAGGATTTCGAGCTATTCTAAGGAATTCCAGAATTCTGATGTTTATCATCTGTCAATTTCAAATTGTCAGATGCTTTAGGTAATGAAGTGCTCGAGTTTACGGAGGGCGGTTGAAGTCATACCAGGTGGTGAAGCTTGAAGTTTCTGTAGCAATGTTAGTTTTTACAGGATGGGTTTGCTAGCCTCATGCCCAACCCTCCCTCTTTGCCAGTTCTATTACTGACTTAGCAAGGTAAAGGAGTGGGTCGGCCGGGGATCGAACCCTGGACCATGTGCATGGCCGGTGAGCGTCCTAACCGCTGTGCCACCGACGCACTGGTGAAGCTCAGTGGGACAATATTCTGACCTCCATCAAATTCATCCACTTAAAAACTAATATGGTGTTCGAATGGTCACCAAAGGTCTGGAGTATCCTGAATTAATCCTTTCTAATATGATACTTTTCAGAAGACCTGAAGAATTTACTCACTACTGTCTTGTACGAAAGAATCAATGGAAAAAATGCGCGTAGTCTCACTGCAGAAGGTAATCTGATCAGCGGTTCTCAGAGCCTTCGCAATGAATGAAATGACTGGATTATTTATTGAATATATCCAGAAGACAGAACTTCTTCGAATAAGACTAGTTCGGTAAACTAAAAGTCCTGAAACACTACAATATGACATCCATATATCAAAACTGTGGATGCTTGTTCTGACATGTGTCAAGAGATAAAGGCTTTTTGCATAGGATTCACGATACAAATGATATCCATGACCGCAAAATGTAGATGTAACTAAGAGTAGACCGTGATCTTATTTAGAGTATACTCTTTGGACAGTTAAGTAATAGCCTAACATTCTCCTGAGTTTATATATATATATATATATCACTGCAGGGAATACAATCAAGTACAGCTGATGTGTGGGGTGAAATTAATTCTTCTGAAATTACTGTTTTAGTTGTCGAATCGATGAGAACTAAACAAACAGTTTCTCAAAACTTTTCAATGAGAGTATTTCATTATGATGAAAGTGAGTAGCACTCCACTCACAACTCATTCAGCCGAATGTATAATAATACCGGTGTTCCCCAGTGAAAATGATCTATTCTGCCTAAATCGTATTTACCACAATTCACTAACTCCGTAATTAGCAAAAATTTCTTATATAAAGCAAACTACGTGTTGCTCAAGTTCCAGGGTTCTCTGTCAAACAAATGCATAAAGATGTCGGAATATATTACACAAACTCTAGTAGTTCAAAAGGATACAAACATATAGAATGATATATGTTTGAGAAAAGACAAAAACATTAATCTGAATATATTATATGAGGCGTCTAAACTTTGGAGGGAATTAATAAAAGCGATAATAAAATAAAGTAGTTATTCATTCATAAATAGTTCGCACAATTTAAACTTTTAGAGAAATAAAAATTAAGTGTACACATTATGTCCTTGTCTCATTTATGTAATTCAAAATAAGACAGTGTTGTAAGAAAGTGGACATAAAATCAGGGAAATGGTTGGCGATGGGGTAGGAATTCCGCAGCCATAAAGGAAAATTATTATCCGAGGACGTCATAAAAGTGTATCAAACTGTGAAATATAAAATGGAAGTGATCACAGAAAGCTTTCTCTCTATGTTTATCGCATTTTACTCAATTAAAAAAGTTATTGAAAAAATACTCGATCTCTGTCAAATGAAGTAAGTAGGGTGACAATATATGAACCTGAATGGGAAAATACAAGTTGAGCATCTGATAATGACACGGAAGAGATTGTGTGATGAGGAAGTGAAAGCTTATGGGCGATCATGGAGCCATCTCAAAAACACTGCAGAGAACAAAGTGAAGTGAAACTCTGCTGCGGAAGTTCTATTTACCACCCGATACCCAAACGAACTGTAATAATAATGGGCCATCGTTTTGCCAGCCTACTGACAATTACAAACAGAAGAAAAGAAATATTTTTTCCTGTCCACAGAATGCAGACAGTTTTCATGCCAATGGTCGACAGGTTTGAAGACAGTATAACTCACCCAGATTCAGTGAGCCAGACAGGATCATTGACCCTCTCTTTTGAAAGCTGAGGATTACCGTCGAACATATTAATGTGTACTTAGTGGTTCAGTGGCTGTGCAAAACCAAGTTACGTGACATAACATAATCTAACATAATCTGTAATTCATTTCTGTCAGCTTAATTTTCCTCGCAATTATTTTTGTGACAAGGATGATGATATGAAAAAATCTAGCTCCCTAGTCAGAAACTACCGTCATTAACACGTCGTTGTACCGTTTACTACGTCCTGGATCAAAACACTAAGTTAGTATGAAGAAGAGTATGTTGAAGTTGACGGCAGTTGCATATTTACAACGGAAAGTGAATTAGCTCACTAAAGACCCCGTATCTAACCTCTGCAGTGGTGATACAATGGTTTCACTAAACCACACCATTTTTATTGAAACGATGTTGGTAAACACTGGAAGTAAGCATAACAAGTATGTTTCGGAAGTATTCCATAAGACAGAGATCACTATAACCGACTTATAACGGTCATAATGTATGGCTGTGACTTTTGTGCTAAGATTTCGCTAGCTCTAAACTTACTATAGATGATATAGTTCATTGATTAAATGAAGTCATCAATGGGCTCAATCACTTTCTACTGAAATAAAACTACTTTAGATAATGAGATGGTTAGGACATGTGTTACGTATGCCTAGTCATCGCTTTCCTCAACTGACGGGCAATGTTAGCTGATATAGGGTCAGGCTGGAAAAGAGCTAGCGGTGGTCAAACCAAAACATGGCACCAGTCAATGAAATCTACAAGAGTTAGTTTAAGCCACGTAGGAAGGTGTAGACTTCCTGACTGGTTGGGGTCCTCGGGACGGTAAAAACCAATGGTTGGAAACAATTGGTGACATGGCTCAAAATCGTTCTCAGTGGCGCAGATGCATCCACTCCTTGTGACTTATGATTTCCAATGAAACTGTTTTGTTCTTCGTTACTTCTATTCCTTTGTCTCACACCTCTGTTTACTGTCTCTACTATGCATTTCTTCTACTTTCTTCTGTTGGTTTGTGTGCTACATGGAGTGTGGCGACTTGAAATGCCGCACATATATGCGAAGTTCTATGTCGAAAATAGACAGACAGACAGTAAACTAAACACTAGTTTCTAGAATATCTAGAATTTATTTATATCTCTTCAATAAAGGAATATTACAGACACTTAGAGGAGAAAATACTTAACATGAATACAACTCTTGGAGTTACTACAATCCTATATAATATGCCTATGAAGAAACACAATTTATTGGAAGATAAATTTTGTACCGTTAAGGTTGCGAGAAATGTGAAGAATCAAAAAATACATCCGTATTTCCATCATTCAACTGGCAAGGATTGATATATTGTGCTTTCTCTGTTTCCACAATAGCCATTAACAGTAGAAAGTTTAGGAATTGTGGGACAGATCAAATAAATTATAATCACATTTCAATAGTCTGCACACAATGATAAGTATTTTGTTTCTAGCAATTTAAAAACCATTCCAACAGTTGGTGTGATCACGGGTGGTAATTTAGCTGGAACTATTACCAAAACAAAAACTTATCATTGTATGTAAACTATTGAAATATAATTTATTTCATCAACATGCATCAGAGAAAGCCAACGATGAGACCACTTTAGTTTGATCTAATTCCATACTGCTGGTGATGAATCACATTTGTTTTAAGAGGGTTGATGATACTATCTGGCTGCCAGAGACCTTGATAAGGGGACCTGGATTCGAACCCATAATCCATTAATTAGGACTCGAGCATCTAGCTCAATGAGCCACAGCTCCTTTTCAATGTGTGTTTCCGCTTTTTCTACTGTCCTGTGAAATCCTCAAAGCATCACCTTCCGAAGTTTATAAAGCATTAAAATTTACCAATGTTAATCCTACTCTTATCGTGGACTGATATTTTCTAAAGCTCACTTACCTGGCACAGATTTTTCATCTACTAGGGTTAAGGGCTATACTTATCGTGTGAGTGCTGGTAATACTGCCCAGTTGCTTAGGCTGAAGTAGCTACAACAGGACTCGAACCTATGACTCATCCACTAAAAAGCCTATGTTTAAGCCAATCAGTCGCATATTTAGAACCAAAATAGACAATAGATAAACAACCCATAAGATTCTCAACGCAACCAACGTAAATGAAATACAAAATCTAATGGAAACAAAATATCCCATAGTGAGGATGGAATAATTCATTAGTCTTAAAGGTTACATATTTCGGAAACTAAAACTTCAGAATGACAAGTTTACATCCTAGGATGAAAGTTGAAATAGGGTAGAGAAATAAAAACTAATTTCTCCTATGCGAAAAATTAAAATAAACCCCCATATAAACAAAAGCTCAACCAAAAGTATCTTAAGAATGTATGAAAGAAAATGGAGACTTATTATTTATAGACAAAAA